CAAAATATATGACTTTATTTTGAAATAAATAAAGAAATGGTATCCCTGCGTTGTTGTTAGCTCCCGTTAAATGTCGGCGCTCAAAAATACCGACTCTGTTGCAAGGTTTCATCAAAGCTTGTATATCGCCATCATGACTAATGTTCGACTTGGACTCTGTAGGCCTCGCTCCGTCTTTATGTATGTGCAGTCATTAGCTACCTCGATGCCTTCCCGATGCTGATGACTCCTCTGGCACCTCCCATGTCCACCTCCGGTTCAGTTCTGTTCATTTTATAGTCATTAACCAGATGCCCACATGCCTTGCCTTTTTCCATCATTAAATTTAATTCAACACATCTCACCAATCAAAGGTGCAGAATTTCTCCCAGTCTGTGTGTTTGCTTTTATCAACAAGTGAAAACCATTTCCAGTTGGGCCTTTTGTCCATAATGGTTTTGTAGTTTGAAAGCAGACAGGATCGAAGTAGTGACCCAAAGGGGCTTCAATTAGTATTTCTCTTTTGGGTGCTAATCCTCTCAAGTTCTGTTTTGTGTCTTTTTTTATTATTATTTTACCTGTTAGCTGCTGCCCTCACTTCATTCAGGATTCCTTCATCTTATTTTGTGACCTGGCAGAATCCACATCAATTATGAGGCAAATCAGAATTAGGATGCAAGGCTTAGGTTTTTGGTTTTTTGTGGGTTTTTTTCCTCCCAATTATGTTTCCCTGCGTTCTTTAAAACCTGAACCCAGATATCATGGCATGAGTCTCTCACATTGCCTTCAGTTCATTAAAGAGAGAGGTTTTGTGCAGCTGACTTGTAAATGATTGCCAGACTCAGAGAGTAATTGCATAGAATATTTTTCTTCCATCTCTGGACTTCCACAGCATCACCTACTGATTAAACGTAGTAAGTAAAAAGCATCTCACAAAAATAAGTGCATCTCTGATAATCAGAGGACGGATTGCTCAATCTATTTTTTTTTTTTTTTAAAGCAAATTGCTTTGGTTGGGAAAATGTACCAAGTCAGAATTTTGCAGCATTTTGTCGTGGTCCCTGATGCTAATAGGTTAAACACTAATTTTACTTCCTCTGATCTGAGCGTTTTCCTGCCTCTTTTAATGCACGGGGAGTAGCCTTTTGCTTATTCACAAAACACTCTTTTTGTTTAAACTTCATTAAGCCACTCTGGTATCCTAGGTCTGTCGCAGCATAATCTGGTTTCTGCTTTGCCCTTTTAGTGCATGCTTTAACTCTGGTTTCTTCAGACCAGATGGAGAGCTTTGTTTATTAACAGGCTAACGGGGGGTGCGAGTTCAGCGACTTGGTAAACGTCCACCATGGAAATAAAGCTGTTCTCTTGAGGCTAAGTGTGCTGAGTATTACAGAAAGAGCAGAGTAGTAAACAAGGTGTTTGATATTCAGTACAGTTTCTCCCTAGTCTTGATGTGCGTAATTGGGTCCTGGGTAAATTGCAGGGGGGAAAAAAATGTACCCAATGTACAAGAGCTCATTTGGATAAAACTCTACTCTCCAGAACAAAGCGGTGGATGCTCAGGCAGTGATGGCTGTTGCCTACCAGCAAAATGAGACCCTCACCCAACGCTGATGAAGTTTAAAATAAGTACCCCGATGTCAAGCAGCTTGTTGCTGTGCCTGGCTGGGTTTTTGGTAAGCCTGCTTGCAGGAGAGAAGCCCGTCCCCGGCACAGAGGTACATCCAGAAGGGATACAGGCAATTCCTCATGCACTAAGACACTGGCATCCCAATGAAACCACGGCCTGTTGAGGAGTAAATCATTTTGCACCTAAAACCCCCACGCTGCACGGGTGGGATTTCGTGGAGGGAAGGGTCGCTTTGGGGGTCCGTGATGTTTGCTGCAGAGTCATACATCTGCGTTGGTCCAGTATTTCCATGGCACAAGAAATCTGGTGGCACCGGTGGCGTGCATGGCATTCACTGGGGCTTGGGAGTAACCGGTCCGTCTCGGAGTCCGGCACTGAGAACAGTGCAGGAGTCCTCCTCGCTGGATGAAGACTTGGGGCTGTAGAGCCTCCACTCCTAGACCTTCATAGGTGTCGTCGACGTTAGGGCTGGAAGGGACCTCAAAGATCATCAAATCCAGCCCCCTGTCCACGGGGCAGGAAGTCAGCTGGGGTCACAGGACCCCAGCAAGATAAGAATCCAAGTGTTTCTTGAATAAATCCAGAGTAGAAAGGGTGAAGGATGAAAGGGAGAGAGGAGCAGTGGGGAATAAACCCCGGTCAGACCCCGTTCACTCTCCCTTTCAGCCCCTATGTGACACACGATACTGGGCAAGCTGGACATATGATCTGATCCAGGAAATGGTCATTCTTATGTTCAAACCACAACTTGCACCTCGTTGAAAGGGATTTCTTCTTTCCAAGAGGTCCAGCTCCTTAGGGCATCCTGTAGCCAGCGCCCCTCCTTCAGCTCAGGGCGATTTCCCTGAGACCCGAGCGGGAGACTCTTTTCTCGTCCCATGAATATTTCTGAGACTTCAAACAGCTTTCCCATTCTTCATCATCTTCTTCAGCATGGGGCCTTTCAAATGTTTTAATGAAAAATTAAAACCAGACTCTCACCACCCCACAATTTGCTACAGATTCTGGCTGAGGGCATCGGCAGACATGGCAATTGAATTGATATCAAAGGATACTGATAGAAGCCGTTAAGTTAGAACCGTAGCAATACAGGTGCAGCAGAACCACTGCAACTTTAACCCTTCTTTATTCGGCATCAAAGGCAGGATGATTCAGCTAAGCTGTATCAGCACAGGGTCCCGTGGATATAACAGCTGGATCATAACAGCTGGTGCAGGCTCCCTCCAAATCAGTGCCCTAATTACCAAGCTGTTCTGGAGGTGTGAGGTGGGTTGCTAATTTTGACCACGAATTCTGCCCTGTCCCTAGCAAATCTTTCTCCATAAGTTTTATCGAAACTGCTGTTCCCACGATGAACTTTGGCCGTAGCAAATTGACAGGTTCAAATGAGAAAATGTTTTACTGACAGCTTCCTGACTAGTTCTACTTACTAATTGTTTGTTGCTGGGAAAATAGCAAGCATGCCAATGACTTCCCCCCTGTTTTTAAGGTGCTGTAACCATACGATGGCTAGCGATGGGCAGCTCTTCGACTCGTGAATACGAGCGTTTCAGTTGCCGGGGGAAATTTTTAGCTTTCCATCTAGAACTGGACGTACCGCCATCGCTCTACTAGTCTCTTGCTTACCAACAGCGAGGCGAGCGTAAGCATCTGCTTCCACATGAATATAGAGATCTTTTGTGAGGCTCACAAACGATGGGATAAGTATAGTTTGGGCATAAATGGAGTTGCCTAAAGGGATTAATTTCATAGTAATTAGATTACAATTTAGAATATATGTAGAACACCACCCATGCAGATTGAAACAATAGAAGTTGTGCTGCAGAGATTGATTGGGCTTTAAAATGAATTAACGTGTTAACAGATTGTAGTTATTTAACATTTATACATATAAGCTGGGTTTTGTTTAGAAGATCCTGAATGTCCTGCAGTTCCCTTTGCATTTACTTTTTTAGTTATTCATAGGTTTAGAAGACAAAAGTTTGGCAAGGGTTTTGCTTTTTTCCAGCGAAGATTTCTGAATACATGTTTCTGCCCCATATCTGAGCATGCTTAGGCTATGCTTTTACTAGGTGCCTTAGTTGCCCGTGCACTTCTCCAGTTTGGAAATGATCTGGTCTCCACTGTGCACAGAACTGGGGCACGAACTATATTTCTAATAATATACACCTCTGCCCATCATCGTCCCTCCCCGCCAGCCCCAAGATGCATCTTGTTGTGTGTAAATACCGTCTTGCTGGGTAGATGCTTCAGGAAACCTGTTTGTCTGGCTGCTTTTGCTCTTTTTCTGGGGAGGAAAGAAAGGGATGGATGGGATACGAGAGCCTTTCCAAGGAAATGCTTCTTGGTCCTTATCGTCATGAATTTTTGTTGATTATAGTAAAAAGCGTCCCTCCATTTCTCTCCTTAAGCTCATCTTTAACATCCTGTAATATTCAGTACTCAGTTCTCTTTATCAAGCACGCCCAACCTTGAATGAGCTGAAGGTTGGGCTCCAGGTTTCCACGCCGCTTGGTGGGGAAACCCCAGGTTTCCTGCATATTTGGAGGCTGTTTACAGGGTCAGCTCTTTGCCTTGTTATGCTAAAATCAAGATCTTTAGATCTGTACCTCTACTTAGTTTATGGCCCTTAGGTTTGGTATCAAACTCCTCCGGTCCCACCCAGATGACCATTTCCTGGATGAGGGTCACTGGACTAGTCTGGAGCATCGATGCTTTGCCGCACTCTCCTTGGAGTTGCAATTCAGTTGCATGAAGTCATGCTTTGGTCGCATGCATAGCAGCCGTGCCTACTTGTGGGAGGGATCTGGCCCCTTTTTGAGCCAAGCAATTGCTACGTTTCCATTCTGCGCAGCGCCAACCACTCCCAGGTACTCCAGGTTGATGTAGCGGTGTTCAGGCCAGTCAAAAGGGGCATCCTCATTTTTTTTTGTCCCTAGGGTATCCATCCCTATTTCCAATGTTGCATATATGGAGAGCGACTGAACTATGTATTGGCTAAGTAAGTCTCGTTGCATGCGCCGTGGACCGTGCCTGCCTTGCGTTGTCAACCGAAACTCCTAACAGGCTTTCAGACTTCACCCATCTTCTCCCTCCACACCCCGCTGTGCCTGTGGGATGAAGCTTATGCCTGTGGAAGGCAAGTGCAGCAGCCGTGATACACGGGGTTGGGGAAGGCATAGCCATGGATGTGCTGCTGCAGGCTGACTGTGGCCATGGATGCTAAGCCAGCAGCCTCCTGCAGTCACCACGAGATGGGGGACGATGTGCATCGGTACGGCAGCCCCTGGCATTCGTTCCTCTGTTCCTGCTCCGTTGGAAGGACTCCAGCAAAAGCTGCTGACACAACTTCGAACCTCAGCGCTAGTTAACATTTGCTTTCTTTTTTCAGGTGGGGGACAGAACCTGGTTACAGAGGATGTGACGGTAGTGGAGGGAGATGTGGCCACCATCAGCTGTCGAGTCAAAAACAGCGATGACTCAGTGATTCAGCTGCTGAATCCCAACAGACAGACCATTTACTTCCGAGACTTCAGGCGTAAGTCCCATCCCCGTGCTATTCAGTAACAACTTTCCCCCGCTTTCCTTGCACTCTGTATAAAGAGATGGCTAAGGGTTTTTTTTTCCCCCCTCTAAATTTAATGTTAGACGCTTAAAGTTTAGTCGATTCTGTAGAGGGTAGATGAAACAGGCAATCATAATCTTTCTCCTTAATGGAAACCTTGATGGTCCCTTTTAAAAGTCAGACTGTCTTACTTTGCAATAGGAATTGATTGTAGTAATTCAGGGTGAATTGCAATTGAACACCAAATATTTAGCTGACACAAACCAATTGAATAGGGTAAAGCAGGGAGAGTGCAATGTTCTCAGAAGTAATATGTTTGGTTTGAAGGCTAGAATTTTCAAGACAATAAGTTTCTTTAAAGCCAAAACAAAAACCCTTGTCTTTGTGGTCCTTGGTGAATGATGCTGTCTGTTTTCTGCTGCGACAAAACCCCAGCGAAGGCTAATAGTTGGAAAGAAAGCATTTAAATTGCCCGAACCTAATGGGTGTTGTTGGGCCTGGATAGGATGGGCAAGCACCCAGCTGCATTAAATAAGCACAACCCAAAGAAAGGGCCATTCCTCAAATACCATAGATAGATTCCCACCCCCCCAAATTGTAGTAACATGTATTGGACCCTCATCAGGACCCAATGGTGCTATATATTTCACAAGGACTTACTATAAGAGAATAATTCTCTCCAAAGCACTAGAAGAGCTTTTGGTTTGTAGTGGCTGCAGTATTTGCTGCCATAAGAATTTGGGCAGTTAGTACGTACACAAGAAACCCAAATCTTGCATTGGCCTTTCCCTCCTTGTTTGCTCTTTCAGTTCCTGGTCCAGCCTCCAAGCTTGCAGTCTGCTTACAGTCATGAAATGGCTGCCTGAATTTTTATGACAGCCCATTTGCCAGAACACCCCTAATTTTTCCAACAAATGAATGATGTCCTAATCGCTGGTGTTTTGCAAGGTGCATTAGTCTGTATTGATTATTTATATTGATCTGCGAACACGAATAATGTTTAAACCCAGATTGAAATGCAAAAGGCAGCAGGAAAGCTGCGGTCAGAGCGCTTGGGAAATTTTGCTTAGATTCCTTTACACCTTTTTTGGGCTTCCGGCTCGGCCGTGTTTCTGTGGGTGGGGGGTGTACTATCTTACGGATTCATCACCAGCGCTAACGATCTGTTTGCTCCACAGCGTTGAAGGACAGCAGGTTTCAGTTAGTGAATTTCTCCAACAGTGAACTCCGAGTGTCATTGACAAATGTCTCCGTTTCTGATGAAGGAAGATACTTCTGCCAGCTCTACACTGATCCTCCGCAGGAAATTTATACTACTATTACAGTGCTTGGTAAGAAATTAAGAGATGCTCACTACTAAATTCTGTCTTCATTTAATGGGGAGTGTCTCCGGGTGGAGGGGAGGGGGAAAGGGAATGTATATGCACTTCCCCAAACTATTTGGTAGCTGTTCTAGCCAGCAAAAGTTGCCGAAACTACATCAGGTGGGTAAGGCTTTGCTGAAAGTCTGTAACCGTGCCGTGGTTTTGGTAAGAAAATGATTTTTTTTCTCTCATGTGCTCTTTCGCTAACGATGATTGGATCTGCTCGGTCCTGGACAAGGTATGGAAAGTGGCAAGCAAAGATCAAAAAGCCTTCTCACAAGCCGTTCACCACCTGGGATATCATAGCCTTTAATTGCTACTTAGGAATGCCTCCATTCATCTCCAGCATTTATCTGGTGATTATGTTCAGCGTGATTCTCTCTGAGCAGTATCCGGTGTGTGGAGGACCGGCGGGGTTTCACTGCATTTTGTTCCGGGCACGTTTTTGCTTAATAGAGTGAGTCCCGCTCTTGTCTGTCACAGTCTCTTAAATGCTGTCAGCTCCTCCGTTTGTGCAATGCGGGATAATCCTCACCCTGCCTTACCGGGGCTCTGTGAGGATGAACCACATCCCCCAGCCGGCTCTCTTGTAGGAACTTCTGAATTCACAACTGGTCTTTTGGAGCAAGTGTGAGTGCGGAGACCAGCCAGCAGCTTTGGGGAATGGCATGCGCTGGAAGAGTGGAGACAGCCGTGCCTGCTAGTAATCCTACACGCTGCCCTCCCGGCACCTTCCTCAACCCGTGTCTTTCCTCCTTAGGGCTGTAGAGCGTGTGCGCGCTGTCCGATTGCAGCAGTAGCAGCGGAGGGTTGCAATGATGGTCCTGGATGGGTCCCATTCAGTGAGGATGGAAAGGGAAGAAGTATATTTGTGTAAAATTAGGGAATATATAAAATGTAAGGCCCCATAAAGTTGGATTCTTTTTTACTTACGTAAAGTTCTAGTAAAATCCAGCAAGATGATGATTATTTATTCCTCAATTTGAAAGCTCATAGCTCAGCTTCCCTGCATGCAGGCTTGCTGTGGTTTGAGGTCCTGCCTAGGACACCACCACCACCATCAATCCCAGTATCTCCATCTCCATCTCCTTTGGCACCATGCAGTCGACTCCCTCCCCTTGTATGTACTTCTGCCAGTCTGCTCCTTCTGTGAGTGAGTGCCGGTGGTTATTCTCCCTGGGATGAACCAAAATGGTTTTTTTTAATTCTTCTTTTGCCAGTTAACATCCAGGGCACCAGTAGGGTACACATGATAGCTTTGATTCTCAAAAAAGTTGGTGCTCTAGTTTCACAGCAGCCTGCAGCAATAGTGAAAGCTGTGGATTTTTTTTCTGTAGCTATTTAATGTGTTAATTTAATTTTCTTTCATTCGGAGTTACTTCAGAATTCCTCATAGTAAGATCCAGCAGCCTGTGCATCCCTGTACCCAGAAATCAAGTTATCTCCACTGATCATATGTTCAACTTTTTTGTCTAAGATTAAAATATAATGAAGAATAATAGCATCTTTGTTGCTGTCTATGATGTTCTTTAAGAAAAGTGTTGTGTATATCCACATCTGTTAAACCTCTTGATATGTTGAAGATGTTCCTGCCTTTGCATGTTTATTAGTTGCTAAATGTATTCTGCACAATCTTAACCATAACTACGAGGTGAAGTGGTGGCTTTTGGTTAATTTTACCTACTCTGAGCTTATAGCCACCATTTTATCTTTTTTTCTTACATGTATACAAATTTAGCACCCTCCGTCTGACACCTTCCATGTATTTTTGTGTTGGCATCCCCATTTCCAGTGTTGAATGTTACTGTTTTCTATCGAGAAGCAACATTTTCACCAAGGCAATCATACTGAGTTCTCTCTTTTCAGTCTATTTTTCATGGTTTCTGAGATTGCGGTACATATGCAGGTACAGGATTTATATAGCTACTGCCCAAAATAGCTAATACTGTTACAGCCATGCCTAAAGATTAGTGTTGGCTTTTAAGATCCTTTTAATAAGGGAACCTGAATCGTAGTGGAAGATCTTAAACTCAGATCTCACTCACTGATTAGTTGTAAGACTTTTTTTCCTTGTGTTTTAATGAGATTCACTTCTTCCTTAGTGGTTTTAAGCTGTGGAAACAATGTTTATAATTAGCCCTAATATGGGTCTCAAATTTATCAACAGCTTTCAGGTTTTAGTTCAGTTTTCTGGTATTCAGCTGAGAATGTAACTTCCTCTCGTATTTATGTGCGTTCAGATGTATATAATTATTTAGCTTTAATTTAATTTCATTCATTGCTAGAGATTTATTTGAAATAATACCTGTTTAATTGCTCCCTGTGTAAATACTGTTTGTGTTCAATAATACATTAGAGTGCTAGGGTAGTGATTCCCCTTATAAATAAGATGCTTTTCAAGGTTCAAGGCAAACCATGTTTTTCTGTCTCCTATTCCAGAGCCCTGTTTAAAAAAAATAAAAATCATAGCGCCGTGTGTTTACCTTGGTGTGCAAGTTCACGGCAGATTGGTGCAAATCCTTATTTTACCAGGCGAGACAAAGGCAGAAGTGTGTGTATTTGCTGAAGTGAGGGAGATGAGATGACTGTCACATGGAGGAATGGGAATGAGAGTCACAGATCTCTTTTTCTCATCATTAATAAACTTCCCCGAAGAAGGTAGTTAGTGTCTGTATATCCTTGGTTCTTCTTTCTAGGACCTCAGTTCCCATTACCGCTGCCACTGTTGGAGACAGGGTCCTGGGCCAGTTGGTCTGACTCGGTGTGACACTTAGGTTCACCAAGGAGATCCCGTTTGGTACCTTAGGAGAGGCTTTAATGCTGTGCTCTCCTTATGTGCTTTGGCTGGCAGTCACCTTGGAGCGCAGACCAACTTTCTCCTATGGCTGCAATCAGGAAGCAATAGGGTGCTGCCTCTTGCTTTCCCTCCGTAGTTGTTTTTCTCTTCTTGGGTACTTTCATATCTTCAGTGCTACTATATGTAAATTTATTCACGCTTCATTGGAACACGTACAGATTTCAAATCTATAGTCTGTTCTTAGAGGAAAGCCACGAATGACTAATTAGTCTGCTTGATCATCTGGATGGTATTTATACATATTTGTTCTTCATCAGCTGAGAAATGTATTAGTCATATCTGAACCATACAATTCCTTAATCATAATGATCAGAACAAAAATGTTATCTTTGGAAATCTCCTTGACTTACAACTCTGTTCCTTCTAGACTTTTGCATGTTGCCCAGTAAGGCCTGCATCTCCCTTCCTACCAACTCTTTCATGTAAAGAGATGATTGTCCCTATTTCAGCATCTTTAAGCTTGTTTCTGTCACGTCCGTTGGTTATATGCTACAGCGGTTGTTATCTCCCTTAGGTTCTAGCCGATTTCTAAATATTATTGGATTATTTCTCATTGATGATTACAGCCCTCTAGCTTTGAAGTTCATGAGAGGGTTGATCTATAGAGCATACTTACCTGGAGAGAGAGGAAAATTACCTTCCTGCAATTATTGCAATCTCATGCAAAAAAAGTAGCTGTCTCCAGATGCAAAGCTAGCTCTACTTCTTTCCTGAGAGCTGGGATTCGGTTTGTCTTGTGGTTTATTTTGATGGGAAAGGCACTGGCAGGTAAAGGCTATGGCATCCATTCTGGCCCATACTCAGGGGGGTGGCTAAGAGCACTGAATGTACTTCTTTGCTGGCCAGCCTCAACCTTGTGAGCTTGAGGATTGAAGCTAAAGAGCACAAGGGAAGAAATTACAACCGTTCAGAGAGTTAAGACTATAGGTAAGTAATGCACTTTTAAATGTCAGCCTTCTTCTTTCTCCTCATCACAGGCTGTCAAGAACCATGTACAAATGCTTTATTCTTTTTAACTCTGCATGCTGCTTTTTTTATGTGATATCCAAACTGGGCAGTCTAAAAGAGCAGTCACCGTGTATGGGATGGTGCATGGTCGGGGGAGCGTGTAGAAGAAACACGAGTCAGGCGATGGTCAATGAAATGCAAAGTGAAGTTGCAACTCTGGAAATATTTATTGTCAATATTAAGAAGCCATATTTTAAGGGAGTTGATAAATTAAGAGAACTGTTGATTTTTCACATCCAGCTTTCTCCTCCCCCCCAAAATCCAGCTGTTTTCCATCATTGAGCAGATTTTTAATAGGCTCTCAGAAATGCATCAGTTAATGCTCAAAATGTATTGACCTTGTTGTTCTGATTTGTATGCTTTTCATTTTAGTCCCGCCACGCAATTTGATAATTGATATCCAGAAAGAAATTGCCGTCGAAGGAGAAGAGATTGAATTGAACTGCACTGCCATGGCCAGCAGACCAGCCACCACGATCAGATGGTTCAAAGGGAACAAGGAGCTAAGGGGTAGATTTTTCCTCTAAATTAGCTCAGTTTTACCGATAATACCCAGCAATTGATTCAGACCTGCTAGATGCACCATTGTGTTTCTGTTCTTTCCCACCCCTGGTTAAAAAGTAGAGCAAGCTGTTTCAAACCCCAGGTCAGGAGCAGAATATGCTGATGGATTTAAATGACAATTGCATTTTAGCCGGGAAGGGTTGAATATCATTATGTCCATTACCCGCCTGCCAGAACCTGAGTTCAGTGTTCTGGATTTGCTCTTCAGCTGCTTGTGACCTTGCTGACTTCTAAAGCTGGGAAGGGAATTTGTTATGGTTGCTGCTGCTGCTAATGTAGCTTTCTGCCCTGTTTTAGGCATCACTGAGAGCATCAGCTCTCTGCCTTGTAAAGCTTTTCAGTTCACCTTTGCACAGCATTGTGTATGTGCTGAATATTCATATGAAATGAGTTTCTCCCACGCTATAAAGTCTAGTGCGTGTAGTATTTGTACAAGGAAGTCACTGACATTGATTGCACATGACACGCTGTTTGTTTAAGTCGGCATACACGTGGATGCGAGGCTGGTTGGCATCACCTCTGCCCCATGTGAGACACCCGGGCCTCCTTAACCGAAGTCAGACACGTAGCGTCAAATGTAACCCCCCTGCGACGACAAGACAAAGTCCTCCATTCGAGGACGTACAACATCATCCTTTTCCTCCTACGGGCGTCTTAGTACAATGGCCCATGCTGAACGTATGCTGATAATAGCAGAATGCAAAGCTGCCACCACTTGTAGTAGCGTCCCACAGAGCCAGCTGCTTTCCAGCACCTGTTGTCATCTAAGCGAGGCATGGATCTTCAAATGGCCTTGCTTGGCTCTTCCCTTTCTAGAGGGCACAAGTACAGCGGTGATCAACCCTTTGTGCTTGACCGGTCCAGCATCTTTATCGAGCTTGCTTGCATCAGCAATTGAATTCCAGCATCCCTGTATCTCTGAAGACTGCCAAACAAGTAGTAGCCTCTTGAAATACCACATCACCCTGCTGTTCCTTTGGCCGCGTGGGTTTTTTAACAGAAATAGGGACTGCCATAGCTTTGTGTGTTTTTTATGTCGCGCAGTTTGCACCTAGCAAAAAAACGAGGAACTTTTGCAGTTAGAAACCCCTTTCTGTAGTCATAATGAGTTGTAGTTTCTGCAGCTCCCATCAGCCCTCTCCCCTGTTTAATTGCATGTTCTACGGGAGTGTTTGAAAAAGGGGGTTGTTGCTGTCTTACCATTTTAGCTGCATGACCTGAACGCTAAAAATGCCACCAGCGCCTCTTAGCCAGTGGCAGTGCTGTACAGGCAGCAGATACTTGCTGAGTTTGTGTACTCTCTGGTTCTTCCTGAGATTCCCTCCTTCCCGCCCTGTGTTTTATGAAGGAGCCCTGCAGCGTACCGCATGCCGGCCGGCTGCCCCAGTGTTTCCTGCAGGGTCTCTCAGTGCCACCACTGAAATGGTTTCATTTCCATCTTTCCTTACTTTGTTCTAGTTGGTCACTTTGTTGATGAAAAGTTGTGAGGGTTAAGGAGATGTGTGGCCCCAGTGATTTAGGAGCTCAGGAGTTTTAGGGAATTCTTAGTCCGTGTAGCAGTGCATTGTATATCTTGGCTTTCCATGGCCTGGTGGGAGGAGGATGGTTTTCCATGTGCACTTTTCCTTCTTGGGACTGTTCAGATGCCATAGAAAGGAAAAATGGAAGCCAGAGGTCTGTGTATCATGTGCTGCGTGGTGATATGAATGCACAGATAATGTGAAGGTAACATGGATATGCTCTCCCATGATTATTCTGCTCTTTCTCCCTCTCTCTCTCTGGCTCTCATCCTTTGACAGGCAAGTCTGAAGTGGAGCAGTGGTCTGATATGTATACAGTGACCAGTCAACTTCTGTTGAGAGTGGGACGGGAGGATGACGGCATCCCTGTCATCTGTCTGGTGGATCACCCTGCTGTCAAGGATTTGCAGATCCAGCGCTACCTAGAAGTCATGTGTGAGTCCCAGTGATTTTTATTCTTCCATTGTGTAAAGATCCTCACTTAAAAAGACGTTAGAAACCATTAATTATGTAATTAGGTTTTATTACAGTGTACATAGCACTTATATCTTGTTGCCAAAATGTAGAAATCAAAGTATTGGGTATTGTTGAATGGATGAAACAATGGCTTTCCCTTGCCAGTTTGCTATAATTCCACAGACCTGGTTTTATTCTTGGAGAAGAACTTGCTTTACCCAGATTTAGCAGCGTGAAAGGTTGCTAGCTAGGCCTTACAATTATGTCACAGCAGATGAATTTGGAGTCTTACCTTTTTTTACCAGCGTATTTATTTCTTAAAACTTACACTGCGGTGCCACAATTTAAGATAACTGACTGCAATTCTTCATTGGTAAACAAATCGAGAGACACCTGCTCTGATGCAAGAGAGACTGTCGCGGTGCGTACAATGTGGTTTAAAAATCCAGTGGAATGCAGAAGGTAAGTTAAGATTAGTCTGCCTTTGCCGGCTGATATTCCTGAAGTTTTAATGCTGCTGACTGCTATCAAGATAACAGCTAGGTAGAGCGTTTCGCTTGGCTCTTTATGAACTGCTCTGCCGTTCATCACAGTTGATGTATACAGATAGGGAAAGGTACGCCTCTGAAAATACCTATGGGGCAACGCACGGCAGAGATAGCTGGTATTTTATTGGCGTAATGGAATACGGGCCCGTCCGCGTCGCTGCAGCGCCTCCACCATTGGATCGGCTGCGTGAGACGGGGGCAGCGGGGCCCCGACGCAAGAGAACGGCGAAGCGAGGAGGCTGCCGAGACGCCTCCCAAGTTTTCCTTTTGTAGTTCATCTCAAACCTGCTATTGCAGACCCGGAGTAGGGGGATTGTGTTAATTTATTTCATCTACTTCATTATGTGGCTTCATTACGAGCATTCTGCTTACAATTCTCCTATCGCCAAAACTAGCGTGAAGTAATGTCTCTATAATGGGGAAAACAGAAATGATCAGATACTACCTAAATTGGCAGATACTAGATTTCTTGTGACTGTGCTAATGTGTAATTCATTTATGCAAACTTAATGTCCATTAACATTTCTTGTAGAGCTCCATTAGCTTTAATAATACATTAGCACCTTTGTGAGGCTTGATCAAATACTTAACCAAAAAAAAAAAATCCCATTTCTCAAATTATACAGAGAAATTGAAATCTTGCAGGGTTTTTTACTTGTTTAGAAAGGGGTCAGGTTAGCTTAAGGCTTCCCGTTGGAAATTTCACTGCAGTGCTGACCTTTTGGTATGATAGAAATGGGTCACTTTTTTTAAAAGAGCGCCTGAAGTATGGGGTGCAGGCTCCTTCTCTGCTTGTCTATTGAAAGAGAAAATAAATCCTTTCTGAATCCTTTCAGTTGCAGCTTTTAAAGGTCTCCATGCACAATGGTAACAAAGCACATGTAAACTATGGTTATCTGAAGGTCTCGGGGGACATCCAAAACCTTCAGATAAAGCACTATAGGCTTTATCTGCTGCAAAGGGTATTTTTTCACTTATCGCTAATTTTAGGCCTCTCTTTGGGTATCTCCAGGGGAAGGAGAGGTGTTAGTTGGAGCTTAACACTCAATTGTTGGAATGGACTTAATGCAGAGCTTTCTGGAAGGGGAAGGGGGCTAAATGTGAAGAGGTCTCGTGCACCAGCATGTTTGACTTGACATTTTGTCCTGAACTCAACTTGGAGCTTGCGAGAGGCACCAGCCGAACAGCCCTGCAGACCTGTTCCCTGGTTTTTTTATCGGCAGAACACAAATAGCTCAAGGAGCCGCACATCACCTCGTGTGCAGCCCCCTTCTCCCCGTGCTGTACTTCTCCCCCTGGGCGGAGGAGTCACCTGGGCCCCGTGGTGCATCCTTCCCAGCCAGGCGATTGACCATGACCCCGCTCCTGGTGGATGGAGAGGGGGCCATCGCATGGAAACCATTGCTAGTCGGTGCCAGTCTGTCGTAGCTTTGGACTGGTGTCCAAGCAGTGAGGGGTCTGCAGGCTGTTGCCTGTCCCTGGACTCGCTGTGCAATTTCTTTCTAACGACCTATTCTTGAAAACACCAGGGGCAGAGAATTGGTTGCAAGCCTAGGACCAAAACACTCCCCAGGAGCAGCGCTGCACCCAGACTCCTGGCCACCCCGGGCAAACTTTTAGTATCAGGCTTCCCTTTGCCAGAGAGGATGATTTTTTTGTTGCGAAAGTCTGTGGTATCGATGCTTTTAAATAATTCGTCCTCAACTAATAACATTGCCAGTCCCGTATAAACTTTTTTTTGCAATTAATTTCCCCCCCCCCATTTTCGGGCCCCTTTCTGTCCGGGCCCCAGGCGGCCAGCCGGTTTGCCCGTACATGTATTCGGGTCTGCCCAGGAGAGGTTCCCCAAGGACCTCAGGCGGGGGTTTAAGTGGGAATGCTGTGATATAGGCCTTTGGCAGAAAATGGGGCCAGCATGAATTGGTTAGAGCAGAATCAGAACCACGAGCCACGGTTGGGGGACCCCGGTGCAGCTGCTGGTGCTGGTTTCCCTTGGTCTGGGAGTATTACTGACCACACGAAGAGGTACAGGGGGGATGGGCACCAAAGGGAATCTGCTGGGCACCATGCTGCCCTTCAGAGCGGGCTCCTACAGGCTGCTTTTCCAGCAAGGCACAGATCACACCATCACGCTGCTTGGGAGTGTTGTCTGGGTGCCATGGGGAAGACCCAGGTTCTCTCTGTGTGTTTTCAAAGCATCTATCTGCACGCAGGACACTGCTTCTTAGCAGTCCTTGAAGTGTTTGTTTGCCTCCGTGTATATCAGTTTCCCCATCTCAAACATGGGTGCAATGGTGCTCCCCTTCCTTGCCAAACCCCTGTGGAGCCCTCGGATGGGGAGTCAATATAAGATCTCATAGGCCTTATTCCGCAGGCGTCTCATTGCTGGAACGTGAGAAGCCATCTGGAAGAGGCTGCAGCATGCGGTGCGGTGCTCTGTCTGCCCCTTGGAGTGGGTCTGGGTAGGACGGGAGAGGAAGGCAGGCAGATGTGGCAAACAGGAACGGCAAAGGAGGCGGGGGGAATCCACTTGTCATCATTGACTGACGCCTGGATCAGAGCTTCCATTGACACAGACCTTGCCCTTTAGAGAAATTATAATCCAAAAATCAGGCCTAATTGTCACTTTCTCAATAGCTTTTTAGAGAAGGAATTTGCAATCAGAGCGAAGCAGCCCTTTAAATTGCTGTTCCGTGCACTTTAGCTGACCACTTTGTTACCTCCAGATTTACAGAGCACCGGATCTCCAAACAAGTGGCAATTAACATTCCTTGATCGCGCCGTGCCGAAGCAGTGTTCCTCGGCTTGTGTCGCTGTGGCCACAGGCAGGTGCAACTCGAGAGTGGCCCTGACAGAAAAACAGCAATGTCTTCTGAGGCCATTTCCAGCCTACGAGGGGGTGGAGGGTACCTGCCACCCCTCGAGCATCAGTGCCTGCCAATACCTGCACGGGTCCAGGGTATCTTGGTGCACTTGGTATGGCAGAGTCAAGTACGGATGTGTTGGGTGGTGGGATGAGGTAGGGGAAGAAGAACGGTGCTTTGTAAGGTAAGGAGCTCATTTTTGTTCGACTGGAATCCAGAATCCGTTGATACCTGGTAAAATTAGTTGGAAGAAAAAACAGCAAAGCCAGGAGGAGGTTGGGGGAATTGCCATCCTCCTAAACAATGCAAAACGAGACCCACAAAAGCAAACGTGTTCAGCGCAGTCTCTGTTTCTTGGAGGGGAAAAAGAAAAAAAAAAAGCATTTTCAGGCATTGGATATTGTCCCACACAGTTTGTAATGATTTTCCAAGACTGATGCACTTGGGTTATTCCCTGCACAGTTCAGAGCAGCTGTGACATTGGCTTTCTGTGGTTCTCTTGGAAAGGAAACCAAACCACAGATTAACCAGCAGGCATGGTGCAAATTCCAGACATCAAAGAAAAGGCGAGTCTGGAGCAGCCATCAAAGGAAGCAGTTGCACAGAAATCAGAGTAACTTTCCCTGGTAAACAAGTTCTTCATTTTCCCCTCAGACTAAATTATCTCCATACAATATCCACTGGGAAATTCTGGGGTTTTTGTTTGTTTTTTTTTAATAGGTCCCTCCAGGTAGGAGAGTCTCAAGCCTCCCAACAAATTAGGAATACAGGTATCCCTCAAAGTAAAAAGCACTTGTGGTCCTAACTCACTCAGGTGCTTTCTAAAGCCCTACTTCAACTGGGTACCTAATTCCATTAGAAATGTGTTTTCAGATTTTTTTTAGACCATGTTGCATTTGAGAAACGGCATTTGGAAAATGTGCGCCCCAGATCCGAGTCTGGAAAGGGCCATCTTTCGCTGAGTTTTAATTAAGATCCATTTGAGCGTTTTCTTGTGTGTGATGGTTCAAAGAAAATTACAGGCTTGAGAATCTTCTTTCCCCTCCCCGACTGTACCAGCAACTCCAAGAACTTTTTATAAAATGGCTCTCAGCCATACCACCTCGGGCCGTGCTTGCTCCAAATCCCCTCCCCTGTGGTGCCCTGGAAGGGACTAGTCGAGATAATTTGAAGCTGGCCCTTCGCTTGCTAGAAGCACGCTTGCTTGAAACCACAGGATAGCGAAGGCATGTTCCCTTCTCCAGTGGAGACAAGGCACTGTAGTTTTTACTTCGGGGGAAACTAAATGAGGCCACCCATGGCCAGGGGTGGGGTTTTGTGCTAGCTACCTACCTCCTGGCAAAACCTGAAGGTGCTTTGTCTGGGCTTAGGCTTTCTCAGCAAGAGAAAGATCAAGCAGTCATGATTTTGCTGGTTAAAAAAAATACCTTTGTGTCAGTGGAAATGCTAAATCTTTGAGTGCTGCAGGAAATAGTGCTGATAGATTCAGGTGGTCTGCTGCAAATCTTGCCCCAGCCAGCGTGATGCTGGGAGCCTGTGCTAGTGCAGCTGCCAGCCGTGCGAGAGG